CTACAGCCCTTAACTGGGTCACAAAAACCTGGGGACTCTGTGAAGTGGCTGGTGGACCTTATTAGACAGATAAAGGTGAATATTAGCACACGCAGAGTGGACATGTGGACATGAACAACTCTTAAGTCTTGTCCTGAAGTACCTATGGTGAGATGTAATCCTGACTCTGGATGACTCAAAAAGGATGAGTGAACAGCTGCTGAATATTCTGCAGCTGCATCAAAAAGACATTTACGCCAGTTCTGTCCCTCAGGGCTCATAACTGGAGGAGCAGAGGATGATGGGAAATATTCCACGGTGCTATCGTCTTCTTGAGCCTGTAAGAGGCCTCAACGTATTCCCTTGCTGCCCTAATTGCTCCCAGAATGCCGCTTGTGTTGGAGCTTTGATGCGTTGGTAGATGGTTATTGGCATCTTTGAGTCAATTGGATTTAGCTGCTTTCTGCAGCTCATTGCTTCATAACGGCGTCCGTGCAGCAGCAAATACCTGCTGCAGCTCTTTATTAAGAGAAAAGAGGAGCAGCAGAGCTTCCTGCTGTGTCAGAGAAGATGTTCTCTTATGTTACTACACACAGTACGACAGAACCAAATGTGAAAGCTGAGCTCAGCATTCTCTGAGTGTCACATCTTGTAGTAGGATTGCACAAAGTATTTTTTTAGGGTTTGATCAAAATGGCTACAACTTTTCAACATAAGATCTTTTTCTTCTAAAACTCTGGCATTAAAGGCGGCGGGCGATATGCATTCTTTCCAGGTTTTGAGTAGTTTGTGGTCGGAAACAGATAATTGTGTGATTTAATTTGAAGAACTCGTTCTTGCTTCATGTCTCTCTCCTGCTTTCAGGCCTCACAGGTAAACTTGTTGCTATGCAACAGCCAAGGTGCGTGTCAGCAGCGTTGCTTTATGTTGATGAAAGGTCGTTACTGCTGAGCTTTTGTGTCCAAAGAGCCCGGCTCTCTCTGACTCTTACACTGGGTATTTCAGGGGCTTGTACCCTGCATTGTCTCTAAATTTGATATTTTAAAGCTGTATTAAATTAAATGGTATGAAACGACCAGTTTACACCTTGCTGCTGCCAGAGTCTTAACTGGAGTTAGTAGGAGAGATCATATCTCTCCAGTTTTAGCTTCTCTCCATGGACTCCCTGTCAAATCCAGAATAGATTTCAAAATCCTACTTCTATCCTACAAAGCTCTCAACAACCTAGCTCCATCTTATATTACAGAACTTATTTTTCCATATTTTCCAACAGATCACTTCACTCTCAGACTGCAGGTTTACTTGTGATTCCTAGAGTTTCCAAAAGCAGAATGAGAGGAAGATCTTTCAGTTCTCAGGCTCCTCTCTTGTGGAACCAAGTTCCAGTTTCTGTCTGTGAGGCTGACACATTATCCAGTTTTAAGATTAGGCTTAAGACTCTCCTTTTTGATAAATCCTATAGTTAGTGTTGACTTGGGTTTCCTGAGCTATCCCTTAGTTATGCTGCTATAGGCTTAGACTATTGGAGAACAAACTGACCACATATCCTCACTCTGCTGCTGTCTTTACTTACTCTGCTCAACCTGTTTTGTATTTGTAATTGTTTCTATCTTAACATGTTTTTTGTCTTTCCTCCTATAGAAAGTTCACCTGGACCTGTCATTCTGTGTTTGTCTGTTTCTACTTCCTGTTCCTCTCAAACCCAGCCGGTCAAAGTAGATGGCTGCTCGTCCTGCCTGAGCCTCGTTCTGCTGGAGGTTTCTTCCTGTTAAAAGGGAGTTTTTCCTTTCCACTATCTCCTTTGTGCTTGCTCAGGATGGGAGACTGTGACGAAATGAAGATTCAACACAATCTGCTGCTTCCTTAGATAGAGAACTTTACTAAGTGTCTTATATAATGTATGTGAATGTTTGTGTTCAGTGCCCTGAGACAACTTCTGTTGTGACTTGGTGCTATAGAAATAAACTGAACTGAATTTAGAAGGGGAATCCTCTAACTGCAGCCTCTGGAGAAGTTCCTCTGAATGCACAGCTCCCCCTGCTGGTGTCAACTACAGGTCAGATCTCTCCATTTAACTCCTTGAAAGTTGCATCAGCTCACAACACCTTCTGTTTTCTAAATAAAAAATAAGTTAAACTGAACCCAAATGTAGGAGAATTATTTGGTTGAATACCAGCATCGTGCCGCATAATATTTCCTTTATTCTTAAGTTGAAAAGCAGAAATAGAAATGAATGGATGCACAGTTTACTGCTGCTAAACAAAACCGTTCACTATAGGCAAACGACAAGCAATAAGGCTTCTGCATGTGTTTGTTTATGTCTGTTAGCAAAACATCTCATCAAACACTGTATGGATTTTCATTAAACTCTGAGAAAGTAGTCAGTAGCTGTACCTTTACCACTGAATTAGTTTTGGAGTTAATTTGGACTTCAAATTCAAGATGGCTGCCACAGTTAAGCAACCTTGGCAAACACAAATATGGTAGTTTGTTATTGAGCTGAAATTAGTTGTGGTAGTAGGTGAGAGTCATCCCCAACGCATTCTCTGAACACAGATTGTGCAGGATCTTATATTTATGTAAAATATTCACGTTTCACCGTTTTCCACTTTTTGTTAGACCAGGACAAAACTTAGCAAAACGATATCTAAATCTAAATTAGCTAACTGTAGCTAAAAGTTTAAAATAACTAAGTTGTTGCTAAACCTTGAATTAGCATGACACTGGCTGAAAGATGAAATTAGCAGAACTATAACTAAAAGCAACAAGTGTTCAATGTTGACTAAAAACTAAAAGTGACAAAACTAGCTTAAAGTTTAAATTGGCAGAATTATATCATAAAAATAAAAGTAGTAAAACTGTAGTTAATATATATATATATATATATATATATATATATATATATATATATATATAT